AATTTTTTAGCTCTCATGGCTGTTGCTGAAATTGCTAGAGGTGTCAAGTATGAAGAATCAATTAAGACAAGGTTCCGTACTCTATTTTTTACCATTTATTCAGTTTTCTTTTTTTATTTTTGGGCGAGCAAAGTAAAACATGGTATTCTTTCCAAAAAAACTTTATTCAGTTGGCGTCCACCCCGTCATATATTAGCAGTGAGCGATGAAGAGCATGCAGCAGTACGCCGGAAGAAAGGAATTATAGTGGACGGTAATAGTGTACCTCCTCCGATTGGTAGTTTCATTGTTAGTTTTTTGGAACTTTTCTAGATTCTTCTGTAATCTTCCTTGATCACGAATCAAGGGAAGAAATTTTCGTCTTCTAAACATTTATAATATGAATTCCATGTGTCAAATGTTGGGTAATCAAAATTCAAGCAATTAATTTCATTCGGTAAAAAAATATGAAGGACCAACATCTAGAAGGAAGAATTGACTAGAGACATTTGAGTGGCGAAAATTTCTTCTAAAATAATTTCTGGATTTTCAGGAAATGAAATTTCCCCCTGCAGTAATCAAAGCTTTACGCGACAAAAAAATCATTTGTCCAACTGTTATTCAAATGCAAGGAATACCAGTTGCGTATGTTTTCTTACGTTTTCATGATCTATCGTTTATTGCATGAAAATTGTTTTGGTATTGTAGGACGATTGAATAGTTTGACAAAGGTTCATTAATTGACGTATTGTTCGTTCTACAAACGTTACAAGACATTGATTATTGGATAATATTCCAGTAATAATTCAGTAATAATGAAATAACAATAATGATGTTACGACTTAATCGTTTATTGTCATTTCTTGCATGGTAATAAAAATTGTCAAATTTTTCAGACTTTCAGGACGCGACATGATCGGTATAGCTTCAACTGGTTCTGGCAAGACTTTGACATTTGCTTTGCCATTGGTTATGTTTTGCTTGGAGCAAGAAGTATCTCTGCCATTCCGACATGGCGAAGGGCCATATGGTTTAATCATTGTGCCTTCGGTAATTTTCAACAGTTTATGTCAATATATTTTGATTAATTGAGTACACGGACATAACGTAGTGATCAAATGAATGAAGGTGCTGATTTTCGCTAATTTACTCAATCTCTTCAGCGTGAATTAGCAAAGCAGATTCATGACGTCATAGAAAGATTGTTTGAGAATATTTGCGATGACACGAAGTTTCCCAGACTTCGAGTTGGTCTATGCATTGGTGGATTACCAATTAGTGAGCAGGCGAGAGTTTTTGAAAGGTACTCTTTGCGAGTAATTTAATTTATGTCTTTAATTTCTTTTAATAAATCCAGAGAATAATTCCTTGCACTGTAGGGAATTTATTTATTATAATATGGATTTCCAGAGGTGTTCATGTGTGTGTTGCAACGCCTGGTCGTTTATCAGATTTATTAAGCAAAAAAATTTTCAATTTGCAAGTCTGTCGATACTTGGTACTAGATGAAGCGGACAGGATGCTTGATATGGGCTTTGAAGAAGAAATACGGACTATTTTTTCATTTTTCAAGGTTTTTTGAATTTTATGTTTTGCATGGAATCTTTATTTCATCGAAGTATCAACTTTTTCAAGAAAAACTAGGCTAGGTGGATTCTAAGTCATTGTTTTAGTGTTAATATTCTCTTCTGTGCAGTTAATTGAATTTTTTAAATCGCATTTTAGCTTGGTTCGTCATAAAGTTGGTATTGTCTATGTTTAGGGTCAGCGGCAAACTTTACTCTTCTCAGCAACAATGCCTCGTAAAATACAGAACTTTGCTCGATCGGCTTTAGTTCGTGCAGTGATTGTAAATGTTGGACGTGCTGGTGCTGCGTCACTGAATGTTGTTCAGGAAATTGAATATGTTCGAGCTGATGAGAAACTTACTAGAATACTGGATTGTTTGCAAAAAACAGCTCCAAGGTAATTATTTTTTTAGTATTTGTTTTTGCAGGTAAGATATGCATATTGGATAAATTAATTTCATATAATTACAAAGCCGTTTATTTAATTTTCAAATATCTTTATGGAGCTTTACAAACAATCGTATTCTTGAGAAAAGTGTTCGCTTTTGACTTGTGGTCAGAGCTTTATTCTGATTCTTAATTTTTTTAAATATGATTCTGAAACGTGGATTATCAATTTAAAGTTATAGAATTGACTAAAATTTAGATTTCTTAATTCATAAAATTAAGAAAACATTGTACAATATTCTTTCATATTTTGAACAGTCTTTTCACACAAAGAAATGAGTTAACTACGAGAAGCAAAATCTTGGTTATTGTTTTTCCTCATACATTAATTTTGAATGTATCTTTTGGTTATTTACTGGCATGCGTTCATTCTATTTTTATACTTTATCTGCCTTTTAGAGTTTTAATATTTGCGGAGAAAAAGAGTGATGTGGACAATATTTATGAATATTTGTTAGTTAAAGGAGTTGACGTGGCTTCTCTACATGGTGGAAAAGGTAAACTTTTGATTATTTGGTTAGTCAATTCTTGCTTTAGAAAAGCGACAAACTTTGTCCTGAATTTTTTTTTAAACTCTGAACGACATTCGTATTTTGACTTGAGAACATTTAATTATAATTTTAGATCAAAAGGACCGTCATACCGGAGTCGATGCCTTTAGGAGAGGCGAAAAAGATGTTCTGGTAGCAACCGATGTTGCTTCGAAAGGTCTGGATTTCGAAAATATTCAACACGTGATCAATTTCGATATGCCTGAAGATATCGAAAATTACGGTATTTTATTTCTTTTGCAAACTTCTGTAGTCTACATTTCATAAAAAATGATCTCATTTCTATATTCTTTATTTTTTTCATTTTTGAAAAATTTTATGTTACCGGTAATTACTCTTTTTTTTATTTTAGTGCATCGCATTGGTCGTACAGGACGTTCTGGCAGGAAGGGAATGGCGACAACCTTCATAAATAGAAGAGCAGGTTAGTTTGAATTTGAATTTTCAAGGACAAATTTTACGGAATGGGAAAATATAGTCACTTTTTCAATGGAGTCATGCTAATGCTAACCTTTTATCTTATTATGCGTACTGTTTTGTAGATATGTCTGTGCTGCAAGATTTACGAGCTTTACTGCTCGAAGCTGGTCAACAATTGCCCTTGTTCCTTCGAGACATGGGTGGTCCGGAATTAGAGCAGCCTAGTGATTCTACAAATGCTGACGACAAAGGTTGTGCATATTGCTCTGGATTGGGTCATCGTATCACAAATTGTCCGAAATTAGAAAATGTTCAAACAAAGGTTGGTTTTCATGGGTTTCGATTTTGTGAGTGTTTCTATTTGTTAAGATTTTTGTCTCAAACATGAAGCATAAATTAACCGGTGGATCAGTACTCTTTTTTTGAAGATAGTGACTGTCTCGTATAGATCATAATAGTTTTCCTTATCTTGATAGTAAGTTTCATATCTGTCCGGTTTGTTTTTAAAAGTAAACAAATCGAGAGAGAAGACGAGAGGGAAAGAGACATTGAAGACAGATCTATCTCAAAAGAATTTTTTTAGAATTGAAATTTCAAGTTACCTTTTCGATTATCTCTTCTGCTTGAGTTGTGTCTTCTTTCTACTTGTGTTTTATTGTGTTTCCCCAAAATTAAGTTTTTTTTAGACAGCAGCTTATCTTTCTCGCCCAGATTACGGAGGCGAGGAAATTTAATGGACTTAAATCAAGTGGTATATGATTTTGTTCTTTTTATATATCTTCTGGAATAGCAGATGTAAAAAACAATTTTCAAAAAATAAATAAAGTGGTATTTTTTTCATTCAAATAAAAGGAACTGATTATTACAGCATAGGAAGTAGGTCAAAGCACATATTAAATGGGTAGACTGGAGTAAAACTTTTTTTCACGAATATTTCAGTTTTTCAAAATGCTGCAAAGAGACCCTTTCTTTGTTTAATAATTTCAAAACTTTGCTCGCTTTGTCAAACGAACAATTTTTGGATTAATGGCGAGTAAAGGGATTTGGTAAAAATATATTTACGTCTCAAAATACAAGATTGTATCATAGGAACTTAATGTATTTAATTTTTCTGTTTTTATGGAGTAAAGGTTTTGTTCATTCTACTATTTCCGACACATTTTAGCATGTAAATTCCAGATCTGTATTCCAAGCACAGAGTGAATCGCTGAAATTTATATGATAATTGTGTAAGTACAATAAATGTGTAACTTTAAGTGATAAAAATGTTCATTATTTAGAAATATTTCTTAATAAACAACGAATTACAGATTCGTTTGTAGATTGAAGTATTTCTTACATTTTTAACAGACTAATTTGTTAAGGCTAAACGATATCCCACAAGTGAAAGATCATTCGTAATTTGCATCTTTTAGCACAATCATCAAGCCCGTTTCTTTCCCATTCAAAGGGTAAACATTGTTTTTAATAATGAAAACAATGTTTACTCTGTTGATGGTAAGTTGTTATTGTTCTTTTAAAGAAATAAATCGATGGTAAGTTGTTGTTGTTCCTCTTTTTAAGAAATAATATTGCTAAATAATGCACATTTTTGTCATTCGAGATTATAGTTTATTGTAGTTGCGCAGTTAACATTAACCGAGGAGAAGTAATTGTATGTTCGGAACCGATTGTAATGGATGTATAAATTCATGTTAATGCATCTGTTTTCCGAACTATGTTTTCTTTGTCATATATTTTTAGAATTATCACAATCAGTGGAAGTTTTCCTTAAAATTTTCCAGTTTTCTTCCTTTGCATCAAATTTTATGTGCAATAAAGAAGCACTGCGGTATCGCAGAAACTCTTGCAATCTTTACTGAGAATACAAATGTACCAAATCGTTAATTTTCGGTTTGGACTATTTGTGATGAATGGAATAAAAAAGACATTTTTTAATTATATTTTGCTTACTTAACATATAATTTATTCAGATATATCTATACTTGGAAGAAAATTTTCGTTATTTCCACCACAATTTTTACCAAACATTCATTAAATGCTAAGTTCCTAAAGAAAAAAACTATGGAATTCCTTACTGAACAAATGTCCTTTTTTGTCCGCGAAAAATTATTTGTTATCCGGTGGATGTTCAAAGAAATAATGCAACATTTTACGGTTTCATTTGCAACAAATTAAACTTGCACTATTTCTTGTTTAATTTTTGAGAAACCAGTAAGAAATTAAGGAAATTCACTTCTCTAAAAAACCTGTCAATTTAATAAAAATTAAATTTTGACAATGTGCCGGAATATCCTCGTTTGAACGCAAAGTTTTGAAAACGAGATTAAGGAATTTAGAAGAAAAATAGCCGGATTTTAGGAGCAAAAAATAAAACGACTTTCGGTTTTAAATAAAAGTAAATTTAAACATGGATTATATATTTGGTAAATCGACAAATCTTTAGTTGTATTTCTGTCCTGCGATTCTGTGATATAAATAATTAATTACTGGTGGAAGTGACCACCCTTTGCAAATGATGACCACCGTTTGTGGTATTGTGCATATCCAGGGTGCTGATACGATCACATTTTTTAGAATTTTACTCGGAATTCAAAAAGTTTTGGTTTTAAATACTTATTCATTGTATTTATTATGCTTGGATGTTTGTAGAAAATATGGAGAACTATTTTAAATTATCTGTTCTAAAATAGAATGTTATGTATCGGATGCTGATAAATTGACAATTCATTAATCACATTACTCTGGTTGTTTGTTTTTTAATACCCTATTGGTTGATAAAATCATTTCTGATTAGGAAAGAATATGCGATATGTGATCTCATCATAAAATTTTTAAACGATTGTTTCAGTTTAACATTTTATTGCTTACATAGCAGTTTTTAATTCGATAAAAGAAAATCGCAGCATTTTATTCCTAAAACATAATTCAGAATCCACGGTTCTTTTCATAAATTTCCTGTTACTAACACTAAAAATTATTTGGAAAGAAAATTTGGAACAATGAAAGTTGAAATGATGATATTTCTGCCTTCCTTATAACTCAATAAATGATATTAATTGCAATGTTTGATACATAAAGATTTTGCATACGTGGCAAAGTTAATAGCTAAGGATGGATTTTTTTAGATTTCTTCTGTTTCAGATTGATTGTTAACTAACGAAGGACACTTCATGCGTTTTACATTGTAAGTTCGCATTTCTAATTCTACGTTTTATATATAAGTTTGTGTTTCTAACTTTCACCTGTGTTCATTTGTATCTAAGCAAATTAGGAAGTTTGAGCGAAATAAGCTATTATTATAATTACAGTACATTGCGAAAGTCGTTAATAGATTTTGGATTAAACAGTAAATTATTTTTTCCTTCAATATTTATCATTTGTTTGTTTATTAATACTTATTTATTTGGTAGTAGAATGTTTTTCCATGTATTAATCCCAAATTTAAATATTTCTGTAAATTTGAACAATTAGCAAAATACTAAAAATTTGGTATTTTTTCATTCTAAAATTGAAAAGCTCTTTTCGTGGAAGAGATCGTTAAAACAAGTTTTATTCCTTATAATTGCGATGCATCAAAATAATAGATGACATAGTGCTGACATTCTTTGAAGATGTTCGGCCTATTAGACTAATTTGGTGACCTTATTTCCCGTCACCAGAATCGAAGCATTTCATTCCTGGTTTGAGATCAAATATAAATATAAAACATCGTTCGGATCAGCGATTTCTTTATTAAAGTATTTACAACTATTGTCACTGCATCTGATCACCTGATGAATAAACTATAAACCATTAAACATTCGTAAATAAATAGGATGATTTCATTTTTTTGACACTTTCAGCTATATAACCGGTCTCCTCATTTTATTCTCTTTTCAAATGATGCTTTCCAGAGCGGTTGATAAACACAATGAAAATTCAATCGCGCATATATCGAACCATAAGGTAAACAGCAACCTAAAACTTCCATGCACCATTTACAATACTTATAATAACTATTAGTTCTGAATTAATACTCATTATACATAAAGACTACTAATTCTGAAAGAATTATCCTAAAAGAGAATTTAAAAAGTTGAAAGTTAAATGGTGAAATTGCTTGCTGGAATTTAAAGTAAATATAATTACGAAATAAATAGAATAGCCAAAATATAAGCAAAAAAAAGACTTATCTTCTTGAACGATCGAAAAATTAATGTACATATTGTTAAATGCTTTCGAACAGCAAACATTTTTTCCTAAATTTAATTTTGAAAAAATTCATAAAATTTTTTTAGCTCCGACATTCTCGACATCATCATTATCACCACAAAAAGCGAAGTCTTGTGAGGAATACACTTGATACCGATTTACTGGCACAACATCCAAAGAATAAACAATTGCTTTTGGCGAAACCTTATTGGCCTTGGCCATAGTTAAAGCATTATAAGCCCAGTTTAGCCAATAGATCCAGTAGAATATGAGAAAAGAAATGAAAATAAAGGTATGCGATATGGATTTTGATGCTTAAAAAAGTAAAATAAATTCACATGAAGTGTTTTTGGACATTTTGTTCCAAAGGAAATTTAAAATCCTTTGTAACTAAATTCAATAATGCAGAAATTTAAAATTCTTTGTAACTAAATTCAATAATACAGAAAAATTTGTCGCCAAGTCTAACTAAATTCAATAATACAGAAATTTAAAAGTTATTTTTAAGCATTAGTATTTGACGTTGATACGATATGAGCCGTCAAATTCTGGCTGGCATCAACGCTGCACGGCTGATATGATCAGAATTTGGCCATTTTCGACTTCCTTTTTGCTTTGAGTTCAACCAAAACAAATTTGCAATTTATATGAGTGTCGCATTTGTAACACAACACAACCGACAACTAATTTGCTTTTTTCACTTTAATTATTGAAACTTTCATTTTTCAATTATTCATATCTTCATTTTATTTTCTGCTCATAATCTATTCCGTACCATGATTTTGTATCATAATTTTGCCAGACATTTAAATTATCAGAAAGGAATGAAAAGAATAAAATCCTCTTTACCGTTTTGCAAATGCTTAATGAATTTATTCTATTGCTTTTGTGTCATGATTTTTGTATCATAATTTTTTTGTATCATAGTTTTCTATTGGATCATTATTTTGCTGAAAGATAAGAAAAATAGATAAGCTTCAACTTCACCTTTTTGTGAGATGGAAGAAATAATTGGAATTTCATATTTTTTATGCAAATTTTGCGGTTTTGAAAAAACAGTTAAGAAAGCAATAGAATAAATTCATTAAGCATTTGCAAAACGGTAAAGAGGATTTTATTTTTTATTCCTTTCTGATAATTTAAATATCTGGCAGTACTTTGAGACCATTAATATAGAGAATTCAGTTATGTTCAGATGTCGTTTTAAACATGAAGAATAGTAATTTTGAACAGATGCAATTTTTAATCATTCACCCTTAAATAAACATAGCACACACAATCATTCACTTAGATGGAATAAAAGATATGACTTTCGATAATCTATCGTTTGGCTTAAAGTATCATTATGGTTACGATATTACGGAGCTGAATTATATCTTTTCTCTATAGTTTTGCTTGTTTAGAAAGAAAAAATTAGAAAAGGAAATTACCTTCATTTACCGTTTTTGTGGCTAATGCTATCCTTTCCGGATCCGTATTTTTACTTCTTATTCTTTTTCAAACATTTGAGCAAATGCTCAAGTCGAATCCTTAAAATTTA